GGCTAGTCAATTTAGAGGTAATAGGGGTCGAAAATGACTTTTCGACAAAATACTATTTAGAATAAATAATCTTAACCAAGTTGTAGAATACCTCACAAGGTTTCCGTACATATAAAAAGCGTCGAAATCCGAGTTATAACGAAGAAGTTATGACCCGTCGAAGTTTCGCAACGGAACCGGCACGACACCGGGAAGCGTAAATAGTGATTTTACAATGGAGGACTTTTTAGCCTTAGTGATCTAAACGAAACTCATAGAATATGTTAAACCTAGAAAATCCATAAAAAGAACGCCCAAATCTGACTTCATATGAAGAAGTTATGATTTTTCTAAGATTCGGCTTAGCAGTGCACGACCCGAAACTCGAATTTTAGTTCAAGCGCTTTTTTGCTTATGTGACTTAAATGAGAGTTGAATATCTCATTAATAGGAACTTAACAATAAAAATACAGACGAAAACAGAATCCGTATGAAGGAGTTACGAATTATTCGCGGTCATTTAACAGTCTAAACGCCTCGTAGTGTTAAATTTAAGATCGGTCGAGAATTAGCCGACGAAGTCAAAATGAAAGTTGTAGATATTATTTTTACCTACGCGTGGATATAAAGAACATCAAATGGAGGTCATATGTGAAAGTTACGGATTTTAGAAGTCAGAAGTGTGCTGTGCGAAAATGGGTGATGTGGCACAATCTTGGCCATTGCTTTCTCCCCAAGTCTTGCCACTAGATGGTGACACGTGGCACCAAGTTCAGCCATTTTCACCCTATAAATAGAACCTCTCCCACGCTCATTTTCTTCACACTTTTCTCATTCTTTCTTCTCTTTACTCTCTCTCTCTCTAGAACCTCTCTCTAGCCCCGAAACCCCCCCCCCCCCAAAAAAAAAAAAAAAAAAAAGCCTAGGGAACCTCCCTAGCACGAGGCTGAAGCCCCTGAGTGCTCGACGGCTCTGAGAAGAACAGCTTTTCCGCACGGGAATGCTGCTCCAAGCAAAGTCTGGTTTTCTATAAACCCGCTGTAAGTGAGCTACACCTACGCTATTTTTAATATAGCTTTTATTTAATTATATTAACGTTATTAAGAACATATAATAAGTAATTGGCCTATTATTATGGGTTATATAAGTATTATTTAACGGTTATATAATAGTAATAATAGCTAGACTATTAATTAGTCTCCGTGATAATAGACTAAACTCTAGTGGTAATAATACTAGGTTTCGTCAAAGGAAATTATTTTTTTTCAAGAAGTGAAGCGCTGTCTAAGTTCGGAATCACCACCTTTTCAAGTGAGTGCATAGTTACTTTCATCTTACACATAGATATGAAGTATTGTATATAAACTACGTGCTATGTGTGCATACTATTTGAATACTTCGTGTCTATGCTGGATGAACGTTTTTTATACATGTTTTAAATGATTTGAACTGTATACGTATTTTAAATATACAAGTATGTTGGGTATGAGATGGGTAGATGAAGGATGAGAGATAAAAGATGATGTCAGTAAACATTGGCAGCTATAGACTTAGTGCCTAACAAATAACATCGACAGCTATGGACTTAGTGCCTATTGGACAAACACTGGTAGCTATGGACTTAATACCTATTAGGAACTGGTAGCTTTGGACTTAGTACCTGTTAGGAATTGGTAGCTATGGACTTAGTACCTATTAGATAAACACTGGTAGCTATGGATTTAGTATCCAGCAGCTATGGAATTAGTGCTTTACGAACGAGCATTGGCAGCTATGGATTTAGTGCTAGTCCTATAACCCTGGAAGCAAGGGACTTTGGAATAAACGAATGCAAGATAAATGACTCTTAGGATAGATCCTTAAGAGTAAAGAAGACAATGGGGATGGGTAATTGGTTGATTGTTTGATTGTTTAAACATAATAATTATATTATTGTGGGTTGAAAACCCTATGTACTCACCAGGTTTCCCAACCTGACCTACTCAGTTTATTTATATCACAGGTGACGATGTGAAGTTACCTTACACTGAGATATTAAGGAGATATAGATCACTAGTGATAATGAATGTAAGTTCTTTTTATGCTTATGTTTCTGTATTGACGATGATATCCCAAATGTTTTAAAACGAATTAAAAATACTTTTCTTCGGAAATTTCTTTGATAACGTATTTATCATGTTTTACTAGGGAACAAATTCCGTAACGTTTTTATTAAAAGAGGTACTCTGATTTTCATAAAGCATAAACAAAAGTGGTCTTTTCTGGCCGTGAAAATGGGGATGTAACAGGCGAGTCCATAGGATGCACTCGGCGAGTAGACCGCTGTGTGACAAATTTTATTCTGCCCAAGTCCGTTTCTGATGTATGGGGGCTATATAAACTAATACTTCCCCTCATTTTTCTTCAAGGAATAAACATTCTATAACCCTTCTATCAATTGGACTCATAGATTAACTCAAAACTTCGTTTCTTTTCTCGCCTAGACTTAATTTCTCGCTTCGTCAACCTTGACTCTAGACCCTCACATGCAATCCTAAGCATCAAACTGAAAAGATCAAAACAACACACAAGTAATAGAAAAATGTAAACAAACATCAAAATTAAATTCCTAAATTACCCTAATAAACGAGAAGTTCAAAAAGAAAAAGAAAAGCAAACTCTAATGACGGGTTGCCTCCCGCAAGCGCTTCTTTTTGTGTGAGTCTTTAGCTGGACTCCCAACTTAATAAACTTCCAATAAACTCAATGCCAATCCATCTGTTGCATTAAATATTTTCTTTGGACCAATTTGTAAAATTTGGCTCTTTGCTTCAAAAATTGGCCAAACGAGCTTCAATTCATATAACCCAAGAATCTTGATAAGGGTTGGAACTGGTTGGATACTAATCAAAAATGGATCATGCTTCCGAACATTATCCAAAGTTGGAATCGTCACCCCATGCTTCGCAACACAAACCAGAAGAACATGGGACCATGTTGTGATAATGGTCAAACCACGAGTTGGTTCCTGCAATTCAGCTTGTTTATGTTCTTCATCCGAACTCTCTGCTAGCAACCTTTCCAGCTCCTCCAAATCTCTTTCTGGATTAAATTCTTCATCTTGTAACTTTAGCTCTTGTGACTCAAATTGTTCCTCAAGAAAAGCATCAAGAGCATCGAGATTTGGAAAACACATAATAAATAAAAATAAAAATAAAAATTAAACTAAAAAAAGTTAATTAACAAATAAAAAAATAATAACAATTAGCAAATAAAATTAACTGTTTAGAACCGTTCCCCGGCAACGACGCCAAAAACTTGATGTGTGTGAAACGAACTAGTTTTAATCCTACTAACTTAAACACAAAGACAAACACACGAAAGGCAGTGTAGCTATCGATTAGCAGTTTAGTTCAGGTAAGTAGGGTATCGAACACAAAGAACGGTAAACAATTAAAATAAATGCTAATATTATCTAAATAAAACAAGTAAAAAAAGGGTTTTCTCTAGTTTTACAAGACTAGAAACTTAAATACTTTACTAACACGCAAACTAAGCAACTAACAGCTAAGAAAACAAAGATCAACTAAATTCAATGATTAAAAAGGCCTTTTGTTTAGGTTCGAATCATTTTTTCCCATGGATGATTTTATGATAAATATATCGAATTAATTCTTCATTGGTTACCGACTAAAGTGATTAGATTCACATTTGCTATAGCTAATCCTTAGAAAACAGATTAATTCAAGCAATGGCCAGTTGTCTAAATTAATGAATTTCCTAGTTTGTTGATTCGGGTTTAGAAAGACTTGTAATTAGCTAAACAAATTGGTTATTCAATTAACCTCTTGTTGATGGTGTATCACACAAGCTCACACATTAACTTACCTATCTTCTAGTTAATTCTAGTTTCACATTCATTATTCCTAGACATACAACTATGTGGTCACGTAAATCATATGAAATTAGCAACTAAGAGATGTTCATACAACTTAATTACTGATTTATTAATAGAAGAATAGTTATTGTTAACACATAAGGTTCTTTAAAAAGCTTAATAAAATATAATCACCAATTAAAATTAATCCTAATCAAATAATCAATCCATGTTCACAAATTCATCTACCTAAACAAAAGATATGAGTTTTAGCTCATGATTACAGCAAAAACAAGCTCAAAAATGAAATCAATTGGTAAAAACATAGTTCAAACAAGATATTAGGTAAGAGTAAACTTGATTTTGACTTGATTCTCCTTAAAATTGAATGTAGGGTTGATTCCCTTGCTTCCCACGCTCCAGCAGCACCTTTAGTCGACAATTGGCCTCCAAGGGTTCATCTCTATGCTAGGGTATCGATCTGAAAGTCCCTTTATATATATTTTCATAAAACAAAGGCTACTCGGCGAGTCGATCACTTAAAATCCCGTGTATGGCAAGGCAAACTTAAGAATCGCGAAACTTCTGACCAACTCAACGAGTTGATGGCCTACTCTCCGAGTCCATTTGGAATCAGCATTTTCTAAAAACACGAAAGTCGTCCGAAATTGTGTCTAGTTTTCAGAACATTTTGAATCTCGTCAATCGGAGTTACGGTTCATGAGATATGGCCAAAACACCGACGAGGGGTCAAGCTGTCCAGCAACATCCTTCTTTCTTCAAAATCCAAGATCTAAGCTTCCAATTGCTAGTTCCGCTTTCTTTTCCATCCAAGCATGTCATTGTTGATGAAAAATGAAATTATAAACTAATTAAGTACCTTTTGTTCATTAAATGAGACAAAAACAACATAAAATATTAAGATAATGCATAATTTTATAACTAAATATGTTCATATCATATAGGAACGGGTGTTAGCTTTTGGACGGGATCTATCCGGAGCATTTTGTTTGTGAAGTCATTGTCTTGTCCAAATGATCACAAAAGGTTGAATTTTAAGAGAGCTCAAGAGCGGGTCAGAAAGGATGTTGAATGAGCATTTGAAGCTTTGAATAAACATTCGCATATTCTTAAATATATCGCACCATATGTGGAGGAGAAGAAAATGAGTGAGGCAATGTATACTTGTATGATATTTCATAATATGATTCTCAAAGATGAAGGAAAGGCAATATGTGAGTATAATGAAAATGAGATCGTTCAATCGACACAAGCTTTTGAGGTTGGAAGCGTTGAGTACATGTCGAGGAGGGCATTAGTTCATGATTTTAAGACGCATCATGTTCTTCGTAGGGACTTGATGGAACATATTTGAAACGTCGACCACATCGATCTTAACGCGGAACCAGACGACGATTTTGAAGGTTAATTTTCCGATGAACATGTCCTTTAGTTCTATCTAGGTTTGGTAATTTTATTTTCTATGTTTTAATTTTTAAATTCTATTTTTTTGGTGTGTTTGTTCTTTTTTTGAATTTCTATGTTTTCATTTTAAGCTTAATGAATTTTAGTTTTAAAAAATGTTATGTTTGAAATATTTATTTTGTATATTTAACAAAAAAGGTAGAATGACAAGTGTGGCAACCCACGCCTAGCAAATGACAAATTTTGGCGAAAGTGTGGCATTTACATTGTACATGGATCGTGGCAAGTGTGGCTACGCTAATCAAGGTAAATTGTAATCTTTGAATCTTCCGATACAAGTGGGTTTTTCTTACCTCGATACAGTACGCGCGAATGGAACAAAAACCTCATATCGCTTCCAAACATTTGTTTTTTGATTAGATAACAAGCATTTTGTTTTCTACTGCTTGATTACTTTAGATTTAGATAAAAAAAAACACCAGCAATGTGATTAGATTACATTCAATTTGTTTTATATGTTTGATTAATTTCACTAGGATGTACATTGTGATGTGTAGGGTATAAGAAGTAGGACAAGAAATGTTAGAGCAGTTAGCCAATTACTGATCTTCACCAAAGGGGGGTTGATCCTCTGGGCCTGTAAAGAGCTTGGAAACACTCTAAGAGCGTTACCAATTGAGACCTTAAGCTGATGCTGCCTTTTGGAGGAACGATCTAGTGCAGCTTCATACAAGTATGATGTACCTGGGGTTTCATATACTCTTAAATGGACGTTTCACAATGAGCTTGGTCTTGTGTTTGTTGTTGTGTATCAAAAGATTCTCTTTCTTTTATACGTGGATGACCTCCTTTCTATGGTGAAACGAGAGTTTTTTGAAATCGATGATCCCAAAAGAATAGTGTATGATGATTTTGATGAAACATTTAGACAACTCAGGAAGGAAGCAGAAGCTCATGTTGAAGACATGAAGAAATCAAAGCATGGGATGAGTAAGCAAGTTAGTAATATAGGTAAAAAGCAAGGGCAAATGCAAAAATCTGGATTTGAAGTAGGTAAAAAAAAGTGGCAAAGATGATGTCGATGGTGATAATGTAAAAATTGTTACAATTGGAAAATGAGGAGGTAGAGTATAGGGGTAAAGAAAATGGTGATAACAATACTAATAGAGGGGCGTTTGATGTAAATAAGTTACAAAAGATTCGTTGTAAAGGTGTGAAGAAAACCAGTAACAATCTTGTTCTTAACAAGGTTTCGAAAGAGGAACCAAAGAAAAAACCTGCAAAAAGGGATAGAGTTTGGGATGATTCCCCCAAAGAGAAAAAGACCATGTTGGATTTCACGGATCCTGGGAGTGAAAATGGTCATAGTTTCATGGTTGTTGAACAAGTTAAAGGTGAGAGTATAATAGACAAAGATGAGATTGTCAACAGTGACAGTGAAAATGAAGAAGATGATGATGAGAAAGTTGATTCAAAGAAGAAATGATGGTTTTCATCCTTGTTCCAGAGGTTAGTTTCTTAATTTTATTTATTTATTTTTTCACTTTTAGCACTTGGAAGTTGTTGGGCTTAATGAGTTAAGCACTTAATCTGTACATCTATTTATGGTTGTTTCCTTTTGACTTATTCTGGATAGAATGAGTTAATAGCTTAAGTTGGTTTAATGTATTAAGACGCTAACTTTTTTCCCTACAACTCCTATCACATTCATAATTGATGAATGGTATGAAATTTATTTTCTTCTTTGGAATGTAAGGGTAAAATAGTCATTCATTATGGAATAGAAGTACAGTTTATGTATACAACAGTTTATCCATATAGATGTTGTTATCCATTCAGCCACTTTAACAATACAATTTGAAGGGTCTAAAAGACCGACTTATGACCAAGAATGTGGTATGCTAAAAAAATTATTCTCAATATAAAGTTTCTTGGATAAAGTATGAAGTAGTTAGAAATAACAAATGTACCATTTTGTAACAGGCTGAAGAGATTGCTGAAAAACTTTGCGAGTCTATAGCAGTAAGTCTGGTGGGCAAAAAACTTGTTGTTTTTACTAGGGTATCATCAACAGTTCAGACGAGCCAACTCTGTCCTTTTTTGTCATTTATGATTACTTGATTTGTAAAATATGAGTAGACTGATATTGAGTGCAGGGCAGGGTGCAATGGAAGAATGCTCTTGTTGGTATCTTGACTCCAAGGCGCTCTATTGAGATTATGTGATGTTTGTAGGGTGTGGACAATCTTATACACACCTCAAAAAGCTCAATGTTAAGTCCTTTGTCAACACCCTCCTTGCTTAAATCAACCACTCAACTCACTTTGCTTTGTCTAATCTTTACTCACTTCTGGTTTCTAAATAAAATGACCATTTAAGACTGTTCTTCAAATTCCAAAGTTCTTCCTTTTTTTATTACTTTTTGAAAGAAATCTCAGACTTATATCCGAAATGTCAATTTCAAAGTGTTTAGGGTGCGTTTGGTTGTGAAAATTTTTCTAGTTTTCGATGAAATTTTTTAAATGAAAATGAAAATTTTGAATATGTGTTTGGATGATTTAGGTTTCAAAAATTTTCTAAGAAAATAAAAATTTTCTATTTTTCAAATTGTATGTAAATTAGAAAAGTAGTTTTTAAAATTTTCCAAAAAATTTTAAATTTCTAAAATTGAGAATGAAAACTCCACCTATTCCAACCAACCATGTTTTCAAAAGATTTCATTGAAAACTAAAAATGAAAACGTAACTCTATTTTTTTAAAATATTTTCTAAAAAAATAAAAATAATTTTCCACAACCAAATGCATCCTTAATATCATAGTTTTTCAATCAAATGTTTAATTTTAAGCTATAGTGTCTATATATTTCCTATTTACTATCTTTGTTTAAGTTTCTGTTAGATTTTAGTAAAGTACAATTTTATTTCTTGAAATTTTGGAATTATTTATCGGATTTCGTACTTGCTTTTGAAATTTTAATTTTATTATATTTTTTTTCCGAAATCCGAAATATCGGTCTGGGATCTAAAATGTAAGTTTGAAATATACATTTTTGACGGATTTTTTTTCAATCATGAATTACTCGTTCCGGACTTGATGGTTATTTTGCCAAAAAAATAAAATAAAATATCTAGTTATTTTCTTTAAATACAAATTTCATTATAATTAGATTACTCAATTTTCTTTGAAGTTAAATCACCTAAAGCTTCATCAATGTTTTGGTAAAGATAAAGTTGGGCCACGCAGAGAAGCCAATCTGGTGGGCATGTTTTCGAAAATCCAAAATGCTTTCATTTTTTTATAAATTAATTTTTAGAATATAATTTTATATCACTAGTGATTATTAGTTAGTTAAATAATGTTTATTGAAGTTTGAGAAATGGTATACAGTTATACACAATGACACAAAATGAAAGGAAACATGATTTCAAATTACGTGAAATAGTTTTTAATTATTAAATATTATTTAATTTAGAAATAACTTATGTTGCGTATAATATTATGATGAAATAATTTAATATATCATATGCTATTTGATGGTTATTTTCATTTTTCAAAGAGTTTTTGCCAAACTGCAATACTTTTTTAATTTGTATATTTCCGTTTTAGTTTACTATAATACCTTTTCTTTTATTTGATGCAAATTAATACTAAACCTCTTTCTTATTGGAGTTTTTGTAAAAAACATTGTTCAAATAGTTATAACCACAAAATAAAAAATATATTATATATATTCTCATAAAACAATACTTAAATTTATGAGCTCGTCACCTTTTCTACCATCAAGAAAAATAGTAGTAATTTCTTTGACTGTTTAAATGGCTAAACAATGAGGTATATACATCTTAATTATCGAATTTTTTAATGGATCGTCGGACTCATTAGAGTTTGTTATTCCATAACTTAAATTAAATACTTGAGAAATCATTTTAGCTTGTTATTCGGCATAGTTAGTCCCTACAATAATAAAATACCCAAATAAAAAATGGAATTAATATCGTTGTTTTAACAATCACTACTATGAACTATCTATACCCCTATGGTTAATAATTCACTCATTTTCCCTTTTAGTCGACCCAAATATGATTAATAATGACCTGCAATCAGTATTGATATGATCATTGCGCATATGCTAAGAGAGCCTTCATGCTATTGAGGCTTACACGTTTGACGTATAAAGTTCTTTAATTGAGTCTTTTCATTCTTTCATCATTGTAGGATAGTTCAACTAGCCATTGGACTCTCTATGCGGTATGCACTTATATAAGATCATAGGGTATGTATGAGAAATATTTTTTATTTTTTATATGTCACTTCAGTTTTTTCTCATTATTCTTTCATTCATCAAAAGGTAGAAAATGATCACCAGACAAAACCCCTACTTCGACTCCAAACTCCATGGAACCAATCAAGCTGCAACACGACCAAAGTACGTTTAATTGGATTCGCAAGACCAAAGAGATTGGGGAAGCGATATCATATAATCACCTAATGCACCTCCAACAACTACCGGAGATTAAGGAAGAAGGTGGTGTCGTTGAAATCAAATACCTTGGAGGTCTAAACATAATGCTACTCTTCATCGGATTGGAGGCGGCTAGGAAGTTTGTTGAAAAATAACAACAGATGGAAAGACTATCTGAAGTGGGCAAACATGAAGAAAAAAACATTCACTTCGAAAGGATTGCCTGGATTAGGATTGTTGGGCTTCCAGTGAAAATGTAGAGGGAAAATAATTTTTCTGCCATCGCAATAGATTCGGGAAAACCATTTTCCATTTCGATGAGATTATGAAACGGGTTGACCAGTCCAATGTGGAGAATGGTATTCTGACAATATATTCGGAAACATACTAACGATGAAATCTCCGATGAACGTGGGCATCGTTGAATTTGATGAGGACTGGTTTCCCTTCCAAACTGACCATCGGGTACGAAGATGAGGAATATAGTATATCAGACACGTGGATGCCTGAGGATAACCCCGAACTTAAAGACGAACAAATTGAGCCTTCTTCGACCAACCGACACTACCTTAATTATATCCCCCCCCCCCCCCCCCGGTAATGGTTGCTCCGACATCTAATCCTCCGACCTCCGACAAGATAAGAGCAGTCGCTACATGGGATGGTCGTATTCATGCAGAAGTTGATGTGTAGCATTGGGAAACACAATTATACAAGTAATAAATTCGAATGAATTCATAAATAATACGGACAAATTAAACACAGAGTTAAGCCCTACCTTCAATATTGGGCCACACAATCCACCTCCACCTTCTGCTCCTTTTGGGCTTCTTAACAACTTACTCCCATCTAGATGTTTTGGTCCATTCTTGCCCCCCCCCCCCCCCCCATATAACAATCAGATTCTAGAACCTCCGACCCAAACTTGGAATACATAATCCACTCTGTAGAATCAACTAGAAAACATCATAAAGTAGAATGTTCCCCACCTAGCACCTTCCCATGTCGGAAAAATATCGCTCTAAACCTTGATTCCACGTTCGAGGATGTCGATGATCCCTTCCCTAGGATGATCCCACTCTTCCCCATACGATCCCGATGTGTGGTATTCCCCACATTGATCTTAATAAATCTGCAATCAACCACAATCAGAATCATGTTGAACCTCATTCTCTTATGTACAGTGGTGACACTGCCTCATCTTATGAAGCCTTAAAAACGGTTGAAGTTGGGCGTGTGTTAGGTTTCGACATTGATGCCGATAATCCTATTCTTGCCGAAGTTATGTCCTATGGGTGAAATCAATGGGTACAACATTTCCCAATTAATTGGCTCTCCCTTAACACTAGAGGTAGCGACGAAGTGCATAAAGTGGAATCAGTTAGAAGGCTAAAAATCAAAGTTAGAATTTCCTTTATGGGAATTCAAGAGACACAAATCTTGGATGCTAAGACTATTAATATCGTTGGTTGTTGGGGTAATGGTGAGTTCGATCATGAAAAATTCAACGCTACTAGAAGACATACAGTGACTTTTAAGGATGTGGGATCGCTATTTCCTCAAATCGATATAGGTATTAAAATCCCGCCACTGTTTAATCAATATTGGTCATTATGTGGGAATTCAAGGAACCACAGTTTTTGCAAACATATATGGTTCGCATGCTCTTCCTAATAAGTTGAAACTATGGGAACAATTAATGAATATCATGACTGCCAAACCTGGTACTTGGATCATGTTTGGAGACTTCAATGTCGTTAGAAGTCCTGAGGAGAGAATTAATCCACAATAATATGCATCTAGTGCTCGTGGCTTCAATCACTTTATTCAGATGTTAGGACTGACTGATCTTCATATGGGTGGGCATCAGTTCACATATTGTAGTCAAGTTGATCTCAAAGTCAGTAAGCTCAACCGTTTTCTTGTATGGCATAATTTTTATAGCTTATTCTTAGGCGTCTCTGTTACGGCCCTTCCACGTGAATTCTCGGACCATTGTCCGATCCTTCTTACTACCTCTACTT